ATATTTTCTAATTTTTTTCATCATCTTGTTTATATTAGTTAATATATTATATTATTATATATTTTTTTCAATTATATTTTAAAATTTTATAATTAGTTAATTTTTCAAGATGTTTTCTTTTGATAGTTTTACATTCTTATCAGCTAGTTTTGTCAAAAATAATTTATTTATCAGTTAGCTTATCTGCTATTAAGTAACTTACAAAATAATAGCTAGTTTGTTAAATATAGCTTAAATCAAATAAATAATATTTTATTATTATTGTTTTATGTGTATATATATATATATATAGAGAGAGAGAGAGAGAGAGAGGGAGGGAGGGAGAGAGGCCTAATCAAATAAGAACCGTTTTGTTTGTGGTAACCTTAAGATCAAATCTCAACCACAAATTAAAAATTAAATTAGAAAATTAATAATTTTGATAATTTTAACTTAAAATATCAATTAAGAGCATTTTAAGGATTTTATAAACATTTTTTCTCATCTCTCTTCTTTCCTATCTCCGACAAATCTTATTTGAATACAAGATACACACTGTGATATCTACAAACGATATTTACTGTTATACCCAGATATACATACAATATGCACAATATGATATCATTTGTAAAACAATGAAAATAACGAAAATACACACATGATACATTTCATAAAACAATGAAAATACACTGTGATACACATGAAAATATTGTGAACATATAGCTATGATATCATTTGATTCACAAACATCTTTAAAATATGATGTATATTAGGTAATTGATATACTAGGTAACTAATTAATTAAATATTTTTTTCAAAAAAAATTAATTTAATATTTTGATTAGTTGTCAAAAATGAAATTACTATATTATATTTTTAGCTTATTTAGAACATATCATTAAATATCTGAAAACGGATGGATCACATTGTATCTTACGGTTAACCCAAACTAATCAGTTATCTCTTGAATTGAGTCTATGTGTCTATACTATCTTACATGGGCAGACCTAATGTGGTGGCATGGGTGGCACGTGCCACCGTATTATTTCGCCGCTGAAAGATAAAAAATTTAGGTTTGTTAACGGTGCTACCGTATCGTTTTAGAAGGTGCTACCGTATTTCCCTGAAATCCAAATGGTGCAACTAAAACCCAAACAAAACAAAGCCCAAATAACCAAAACCATACTTTTTGTAATTATTTTTAGGTATACATTGACCGTTTTCAAAAGATGAACATGTGTCGGGTACAAGTTTAGAAGTTGTTTATCGGTACTTAGGGCTGTAAACGAACCGAACGAACACGAACGGAGGCTTGTTCATGTTCGTTCGTTTAACTTAACCGAACAAACGAACGAACACGAACGGAGACTTGTTCATGTTCGTTCGTTTAACTTGTGTTCGTGTTCGTTCGTTTAATTTATTAAACAAAAAATAAATTATTTCATTATTAAACTTAAATTAAATTATAATAAAAAAATAAATAAGAAATTACATAAAAAATGAAAACTTTTAAATAGTTGATTTGACATTAACATTGATATATAT